ACCTAAAACTACACACAAAACTAGTTTGTCACAAAAAACACAATTTTCAAACAAAAACCGGCACCAAAACACGGTAAGTATATCGTTTATAGCACAATTCACAATGTGGATTGTGGTTTATAGTATATGGATAATTTATAAACTATTTTCTTTAAAGGAAAACAACATAACACTGTCCTGAACAATCCTTAAAAAGCTTTTCTGGAATATAACCTAACATTGAAACTTCGTTCACGTGGTTCAGCTAAACTACTAAAGTAAAGTGTTTGCGACCTCTATGTACTGTGTTTGGGACTACGAATGCCAAAGACTTAAAATGCGGGTATCAGCGTACTTAACGAAGACGGCCCGAAAGTAGCAAATAATCCAGCCCGTTCATGGGCTATATTTTTTTGGATAGCATTCGGGCGCGAAGGGTGGATCCCGGTTACTGGTTTGCCGAAATCGGGCCGCATTTTAACCGAATTTGGAAAAATGCCTACTGGGGAGTTTGTATGCGGGCCGTAAGTGATCCGGACACGGCAAATTATGCCACCAGTCTCCCGATAGTGCCGAATGTTGGCCGAATGTTTCCCGAGAGTTCTGTGCTTACTGGGATAGCGGGATTGGTTTCCCTAAATTTTACCTGAACACCGGTTTTGTTGCCCATCATTACAATGCAGTTACCTGCTCCAAATCCAACCATTTGCATTACATCAATTGTCTTTTTGATTAATAAGTTCATAACAAGCCTATGAAAACCTGTAGCTGACGAGTCTGTAACTTTTTGAACGCTTAGGAATCTAAAAAATAATCGACAGATCATCTTTCCCTTTTACAAAACCCAAAAGGGAAAGTAGGTAGTTTTTGGATTCTAAAAATAGCAAGGCACTTGACTTCTCTGTTGAATAAGAACCGGGGGAGTCAAGTGTCGTGGTGCAGGTATAAAAAGAAAGGACATTATGTATAACTTGCTAAAATACAACTTAAAACTTAAAAGCCTTAAATAATATTTGGATTTATAAAATGTAGCGTATAAAAATAAGTATATAAAAATAAGTATAAAGTATAAAAATATTGAAATTATAAAATAAGTATTGAAATATTGAAGGTGTATCACCACATCACCCCCCTACCAGTGATCAGAGTATGATCACGTGAAGGTGAGCTGAGGAATATTACGTAAATGTCCCTTGCCAACGATTTGGAAAACGCACGTGTCTTCCCGCTCTTGTTATGGTTGGCGCCTTTTGATCTTGGTTTTCAGATCTTTTGCTGCAGGGCAATGTTGTAGGTTTCTCGTTTATTTTCGATGCAACGGCCGGCGTGTGGCCTTCCGCTGCGAAGTAGGCTGGTTTTAATCGGTCAATGGAAATTTTAGTGTTTCCTTTTCGTAGTTGCACCGTAAATAGTATAGACTGCCCTTATCTCTTAAGTAAACTATATTTTAGAGTTCCTCGTGTTACATCTAGAAATAATTTTACATTTTACCTGCCATCACCTAAAACAAACATATTAAATTTTTCACCCCTATACTTCATGTGTGGAAAGTACAATTATTTGGAAGACAGATTTGATATTTTTTTATGTAATGTTCAAATAATAAGGAGTATTACTATAAATACCTAATTTATTTATCTTTTCTTATAATATTATTGTGTTTTTGCTTTGCCATATATTTGATATTTAAAGTTTTTTTTTGTGTCTTAACTTTGTTATGTATATTTTATATGAATTTATATGTATAAGGCTATATAATGTAATACTTGTTTAAATTTTCTCATCTTGTCATTGGTCCAAGGACTGTTAGATGATGTATTAAATAAATTAAATAAATAAATAAATAAATAAACGTCTTATCGTTTTTCGTACAACTTTCAAGGGTCCGTCATAAACTTGTTGTAGTTTTCCTTGCTGAGCGCCATGTCTGACGTTTGTTTCTTGCGCTACCAAGAATTCTCCAGGAAGTCGAAGTGTTTCGACATAAACGAGGTCTGCAGAAGTTTCTGATAAATCCTCTCGCCATGCTGCTCTAATACCTAGCAGGGCTGCTGGCAGGATGTCGACCCGATTTTCTCCATCGTGGCATTTAAACGCTGCTTTTAACTGTCGGTGAAATCGTTCCTCTAAATCATTGGAAGATGGGTGGAAAGCGGTTGTGCGTAGATGTGTAGCACCAATTAATTTGCTGACTCGGTTAAACAATTGCGACTCCAACTGGCATCCCTGGTCCGTAGTGATTCGTAACGGTACACCAAAACGTGCGACCCACCCCTCGAGAAATGACCTAGCAACCGTGTCGGCCTCGATGTTTTCTAACGGGAGACAGAGGTCAGCACCAGTGTCAACGAGAAATGTCACTTTTGTGTCGCGATCCGTCAGAAATAGGCGGCGCGTGTTAAGGCAGAATCCGTTAGCCGCCATTAACGACTGCCCTGGTCGTTTTCCGAACTAAACGCGCACGGTTGATTGCATTTTCTTGCCTTGGCGCCGAAATAGAGTGTTACCAACACAAATTACTGTCTTTGCCCGCGCCTTGTTGCCGGCTTTTGCTTCGAGAGCGGGAACGTTGCCGATACCCGTTTGACCTGGACGGTTTGTTGTCAAAGCAGCAATTTGCACAGAGAGTTGCTCCAGAAGGGCTCGCGTCGTTAAACCCCCATCGGCAGCCTCATGAACTTGCGGGCGAGCTTTGGTTTCTGCGACGGCGTCTGCGAGATCGGCGACCGACATCAAGCTGGCCTTGGCTTGTGTAGTCAAAATGGCTTGCATGGAAATGGGTAACCGGCTTACCCATAATGACCTTACGATGTTGTCCGGTACAACCGAGCCTGCCAAGTTTTGTAGATGGCGTAAAAACTGTGTCGCGCACTTCCCTAGCGTACTTACAGTTGAGGTGCGCTGCTATGTAACTAAAACGAGTTTCCTCACTTGTGATGCCGCAGATAATAAACTGATTCTCCACTTGTACGAACCAAGTTTCAGGATCAGCAGCCCAAAATGGTGGGATTCGCACTGCAACCCTTTCTATGGCCTGTTGGCGGTCAGCATTGGCCTGGTCCTGATTTTGGTCTGGCATTTTGAAAAACCAAAGATATGCGCGGTTAAATAGCGAGAACGCATACAACTCCGAAAACACCGAAAAAACAACGACTACACTGTAAAAAATTCCATTGTAAAAATACGTAATGGTTTATGGCATCTTTCAAGCATAAATCATTAGGTAAGTTCACATAGCTACTATATTTTACATAGTAATATGTAAAATTTCAACTACAATTTACGAGTGATGTGTAAAATTACAGGTTGAACTTACACACCATTTTATGTAAAATTAAATTAAATTTACACAATTTACGTAGCTTTCCATAAAATTATTACACAATTCCAATGAATTACTACATAAATCATGTAAAATTTCAGTGAATTATTACATAATATATGTTAAAATACATATAATATTTCAGTGTATTTTTACACAATTTGTGTAAAAAAATTTCTTTTTGCGAAAGATTTTGAAAAAAGAGCAGATTGATTTTTTAGAATGTTTATTTCAATAATTAACATTGTTTAACCTAAACAGGAAACAAATCACAAATATATAAAACATTTTTCTACAGAAACCTAAAATAAATATGACAGGATTCCAAATACAAAAAAAGTAACTTTTCTACTTAATATTATAAAATAAATATTTTTGAATTAGAGATGGCTATGAGAACCATAGAAAATGGGTATTCCTGCTAAACAGCACAAGCGTTTGTCCTTAAATACTTAATATTTTTTATGCTTATTCCACGGCCAAAAGTAAATGCACAAAATATAAGGAAGGAAACAAAATACAACTTATTGCATGATATCTTTTTTCTATAACTCACAGTACCTATAATAATGATGTTTTTTTTAAACAATTTATGAGTTTTATAAATTAACAACAATAGCTACGGCCTGTTATTAAAAAAGATGTGGGTGAGGATATATCTAGAGGAAATCAAAATAATAAAAAAACATTAATCTCTTAAAGAACGCATCTAGAGTAAAAAAACTAAAAAAAACTAACTTAAATAAAATAAATATAGGTATATATTTATTTTATTTGAGTAAGTATATATAAGTAACAAAACTAAAATAATTTGTATTTTCAGGTGATCAAAGTCAAACAAATAAATAATTATTTTATCTTCCTAAAGAAGATATATAAAAGTAACAAAACTAAAATTATTTAACTAATTCTTTTGTTTTAATGCTCAGAAATCAGAGAACTATAGTTCTCTATAGAAAAAGATCCGTTAAAACACTAATATAAATCAGAAGAGCTCGGCGACACTTATAAGTTCCTTAATTTGTTTATATTTTGAACATTTTGATCCACAATCTGGATGGATCTTGAGGAAATATTTGTAACAAAATTAATAATTCAGGTGCATTTACGGTGCCTATTATATAATGGAAAAAGTTATTATACATACCTCTGAAGAAATTCAAAAGTTAGCGAAATCTTCTCTGGATATTTCAAATTAAAATTGAAATACAATGCAAATATCATCTCAAGGCCACTGTCAATAGTAATGTCTTTTATGATCAATTCTTTCTCATAGTACATGTCATATTGTTCTTTACCATCAATATCTAAAACAATATTTTAAGAATTATTCCGATAATATTGGTGAAAAACAAACTACAATTGTAACTATAGTTACATTAAAAACAATTATTATTAAACTATCTATCAATTAATATGTATTATATACAATGTATATTATACAATGTATATTATACAAATAATTATTATATTTCGGATGTTTCATAAATAATGTAAAAAAATTCGGAATGAGTTCCCCTGCTTGTACCGTACTTTCTTTCCACCTTTCTGTGGTTACACTTGCCGGCTTGTACTCAGCTAGTCTTCGTGAGCAGGTTGTGGATCAGTTTTATGGAGGTATTCATAAAAATAAAATATTGAAAATTAATTGTTTGTTTTTCACTGGCATACTTTGTCAATGCGGAGACGTCAGATTCAGTTAGTTTCTTAAAATGAAGTTTGCCTCCTTCTTCTGTGAGAAGATTGGGCCAATTTCTTTAATAGTCCTCGCACTGGGAATGCTAATTAAGAATTGGCGTTGTAAAGCGTAGTCTTGCTCATCAGATTTTTCCTTTGCAGAATGCGGATCTAAATTTCTCGAATCGTCTTCATCCAATATTGTTGGCTCTATGGCAGGAGCCCAATTCGAGCATTCAGCTCGGCGACTCAAATTTAACGGCTTATTTGCCTGTACTTCTGATCTATTCATGGCCATTTTTCGTTTATGAGGACGGTTCCGGTAATTATTACGATCTAGAATTTTTTTAAAACCTGAATGAGATCCGTCCCCAATAACGATTTCATCTTCATCGACATCTCTGAAGGTTTCAGGAAATTTATCAATAAGTTTTTTTGTCACAATTTTTATTGCTGCTGACGATAGCTCCTTTTTTATTTCCCTCATTTTATTTACCACAGTGTGTATAATAAAGTTAACTGTATTCCTGTTTCTTGTTCCTTTTTCACACTCTGATATTATATGCAATGGAAATTGAGTCCAGTCTACCTTAATCATTTGCCACATAAAGTTTGAGTTGCAATTAATTTGGTAAGTTATGCCGGCAGGTTGAATAATTATGTCATTATTTTTGTCAGGTTGTACCGAAGGTTCTATCTGATTGGCTCCAGATGTAGTCAGCCCAGTCTTTTCCAGATCCAGATCAGACAACGAAATAAATTTATTTGCATCTGGGTTGTCATCAATATCATCACTAATTGTTTCCAAGTCCAATGCCATGGACTTTAGTGTTAACGTTGAGGATGAGGACTGATGTGAACTTGAAGATGATATTAGCTCAATTTTTTGATGCCATTGTTGATTAGGTTCCAATAATATAATTATTTCATCTTTAAAATGTTTAAGTACACTGATCGTTTTTTGAAGTGGTTCGCCAAAAAAATTATTCCACTTTGATAGGTTGTAACGTTTGAATGGATGGACGTATCTTGTTAATTTTTTTTTGTTAGAAAGGGCATTTTACAGGGTGATTTGTAAAGCTATGATTTTAACATTAAATTTATTAATGTGCAGGAGGTAAATGGGTCACCCTGTATAATTTATTTTAAGGTCATCATAGAGCCTTACGTCTTAGCGCTGCGTGCTTTTTTGGATTTTGGTCATACCTCAATAGCCTTGGAAGATATTAATTTTTCTTTCACTTCATGTCTATGTGCGTAAAAAATCGAGATATCTTTGGAAGTAATAATGTTTTGACATGTGTCAATTTAATTGTTTGTAACAATGCCGCGTCTACAAGGTCCAATTCTTGAAAGAATCATAGGAATGGTTTTAGCTGGTGTCTCTCAAAGGGAAGTAGCCCGACGCTTTAATATTGCATACAGTATGGTTAATCGCGCTTGGAAACGATACGAAAACAATAACTCTCCGCAATATAGACACGGAGGAGGGCGTCAAAGAGTAACTCCAGCAGAAGATCGTCTTCTTAGGAGAACCGCTTTGCAGAACAGAAAACCTAATGCTACCCAACTGAAACGAGCATTGCACCTGGCTACCGGAAACATGATTTCAACATCCACAATAAGAAAAAGATTGCATGAAGGTGGACTTTACTCCAGGCGGCCAGCTAGGCATCCAAAATGGAATCATGGGCATAAAAGGCGACGTCTGGAATTTGCTTTGAATCATCAAAACTGGGCTGCAAATGACTGAGCCCAATGTCTTTTCACAGATGAATCACGGTTTTCTGAGGATCCCGATACCAACCGCCTGCGTGTGTGGCGGAGAGTGAATGAACGGTTGGCGTTACACCTTTCGGTGGTCGTTCAATTACAGTTTGGGGGGGGATATCAATAGACCGTCGTACTGAAGTTGTACTTTTCGTCCATGAGACAGTTAATGCTTTACAATACTTGGAAAGAATTCTGGAACCAATAGTTCTCCCTCTGTCCCATCAAATAGGTGAAAAGTTTGTATATATGGATGATAACGCAAGACCGCATCGAGCCAACGCGTTGCAACGTTGCAACGTGGTAAATGAATTTTTCCAACGAGAAAATATCACCAGAATGGAATGGCCGGCGCTTTCGCCGGACCTCAACTCCATTGAAAACGTGTGGGATGCGCTTTAAAGAAGGATGTTAGATCGCCAAATTGAACCACATGGAATTAAAGAGCTGGGAATTGCTCTTCAACAGGAATGGGAAGCCATTCCGGGTGACCTCATCAATAATGTCATCAGGAGTATGCCTCAAAGATGTTAGGAGGTGATAAGGAGTAGAGGGGGCCCTACCCATTATTGAATATTTTTTATTAACACGTTACAAATAGTAACGCTACATGATTTATGTATTAGAAATAAGTTAAGCACTGTATAAGTATAATTTATTTTATTGAGTACACACCTGTTCACACTGTATATCGCATATCGGCTTAAGAGTATTGTATTTTTATGTTTTGGTTATTATTTTGGGGTCTTTAGGTCGCTGGCTTCATGGTGTTGATTTGCCATGCCTAAAAGAGTACGTTTATTTTAGTTTTATTGATAACCAGGAAGATCTTGGTACATATTTTAGGTTACGACTGAATTTACCTTTTAGTTATTGTTTCGATATGTATGATGTGTGATAAGTATGAATGGTTAAGTGAGTGAGTGTAGGTGAATGATGTGGGTGCTCCTGGGTCTCCTTTACGGTATATATGCGTTTTAAGTTTATCTGGGGCCCTGGTAATCCTACAACATTAGTGTACTTTAGAATAGGTTAAAAGGGGGTTAGAATAGGTTAGTTATAATTATTATTTTTATAAAAAAACGTTACTTACTTTTATTTTATGTAGGGTTTCATATTCGTAAGGTTTGTTTGTCAATTTTGGTAGTTGAATTATTTCATATTGTTTTGACGTTTTACCCGGTTTAGGGACTTTTGGTATTTGGCAACTGTTTCTTGGGAATGCATTCACGAAGGGCCATGGCTCTAAAGTTGGTTTAAGTTTGTTTGTATTCACTGCGTTGCTCATTAATTCTTTAATTTTTTGTATATTGCTGAAGTGCGCTTTGCATTAAGAATATTACAATAATTAAATCGTACGTTGGTAGCATTGTTTGGTGATATTGCGCATAAGGGGTTTGTTCGAGAGAGGGGAGGATCAACAGGTAGACGTTGATGTAGCTGCAGGTAGACAGGTGCGAATGGCCGGTTCTCAAGTTAGAAGATTTGTTGAATCTAACTAAAGTATAATTACGATTCGTTTAGTAATTAACTAGTTGTTTGCCTATCATACCAAGTTAGCGCAATTAGATAGAACAGTGGTTGCCGTGGTCTCCTGAACAAATGGGTTTTTAGTAATCGAGCAGCGTGGTGAGTGCAATCAAATGTATATTCCAACTTTTTCTAAGTCATCCTATTTCCTAGTTTGCTAAATAGCCATCTAAAGTACCTGGGAACTATTCCATCGACCTGGGAAGGTCTTATTTTTAGAAATTCATCGAAAAAACCGGAGAAACTCCGTAAGTATTTTTTTGTTGTTGTTTCCCATTTTTTATTCGAAGTATTATTTATTCATTTAGGGTTTTTTCTTGGGGGCACATTTTCTGGTGAGGTTATCCTGGTCTTCGCTTATAACTGTAGCGAAATAATTACTCTGAGAGATTTTCCTATGGAGGAGTTCCTGATGGAACGGTCTCAAAGATCGCTTTTATGACAGTACCCATGGAGCGCGAATAGCCCCATGCATCCAGGAGCCTGATCCAGCCCTCTGAATGAGTATACCAGACGTCCAGAAACCCTAATCGGGATGCAGGTTTTTTATCATCATTATTAGTTTTTTTATTGCGCAAAACTGCGTTGCAGTAAATTATGAAACATTATTTTATTTTTTAACAATTTTTAGTCTAGTGTAAACCAATAGCTATTCGGTAATGATTTTAACATTAACTTAAATTTAATATAATTTTCATTTAAAATATAAAGTAAGTAACTAAACCTTGAGTTTAACTTAATGACCACAACCTTAGGTTATTGTACTCTTTAAAGTTGTGGTGGCGCCCAGGCCAAAGTGTAAGTATGAGGAATAAAAACCCACAGACCTATGCTCCCAGACACGAGAGCTGCCGGAGCATATAACCCCAAGTTGGTTATAATTCGTTATTCATTATTATTGTTATTGCTTTAAAAATTAAAATAAAACTTTTTGACTTTCATGTGTACTTAAGATGGTTAAAAAATCATATCTTTTAAAATAAATGACGTAAGACCAAAATCCAAAAAAGCACGCAGCGCTAAGACGTAAGGCTCTATGATGACCTTAAAATAAATTATACAGGGTGACCCATTTACCTCCTGCACATTAATAAATTTAATGTTAAAATCATAGCTTTACAAATCACCCTGTAAAATTATTTTAAATCAGGACAAATGAATGCAGTCGTGCACACTTACTGCTAAAGAAATGACCTTTCTAACAAAAAAAAATTAACAAGATACGTCCATCCATTCAAAAGTTACAACCTATCAAAGTGGGATAATTTTTTGGCGAACCACTTCAAAAATCGATCAGTGTATAATATCTTCATCTAATGGAGTTCCATCTGATTCTAAGACCAATAGTGATCCATTCTTTTGCATTTTATCTGAAGCTAAAAGAGATTTGATTAAAGTTTGTAAAAAAATATTGATAATGACCTCTACATACCTTTAAGTATTACATCATTAATTAAGTCATCGCTGCTCTCTTTAACACGAATAACAGTCTTCTTCTGACGGTCTTGTGACCACATTTTTAAAAATAATAGAGCCATTCTGCAAACAATAAAAAGTTCCTTTATTCCACTTTTGTGGGGTATATAACTGCAAGCCCATTATGTATTTTTTTTGAAAATGTTTTGGGAACCCTGTATTAATACAGAAATTACTAAATCTAGGTATAACAAAATATATTCTTGAAACAATGCAATGTTTCCTTCCTAGAGGTAACTACTCGGTAAAAAATTTAAGACGACTTTAGAAAACTGTGATTTTGAGAGATTTTTAAAGGATTTTTTAGCACAGGTTAGTTTAAAGTAGGTACCTATTTTAAAATTTTTTACCCAGTCGTTAGCCCTCGAGCTAGCCTCTATTTATTTTGGTTTTGAAAATTCGTAAAATAATTTATAATCTTTTAAAATTGGCTTTAGAAATAATAGAAATTATTATTGTCGAACTATTGAGCACTATTGGTTAATACTATAGTATATAATATATTATATATATTGTATATATTTTCTATTGTTTCAATAGCTGATCCTGAAAATTTTCACGTCAACCATGCTTTTGACACTTTTTCACTTGTTGCGATTTTAGTTTTGATAAATATATCAGTTTTAAAACTTCTTTGATGATCCCTATTATTCAATCTGCCAGAAATGACAGTTATCCAATTTAAAGATGAATGCCATAACTACTGAAGAAATGCCAGAAGCTGGTCTTAGTATACTAGTTTACCAAAACATAAAAATTACAGAATAAACTCTTACAAATAACAAAACTTAAAAATAGAAAAATTGCTGGTTACTAACTGTCGTGCAGAGCACAGCCTCTGATATATTGAGATCATCTAATAAACATGAAATTAGTTCTTTCGCTTTTTCACTGTTCTCCAAATACAATCCACAATCTTCATCAAAATAAACATTTATTGATAAACCAACAAATAAAATACTAGTTAAATTTTTATCTACAAATATGTATTTTTTTTTAACAAATCAATAGATTCATAGTTTTTTTGCACACAAAAACATTCCG